AGATCTGGTGATCTGGGAGGCCACTGTATTGGGCCATTTGTTCCTATCCACTGATCATTAAAAGTAGTACTTAGAAAATGATAAGTACCTCTGGAGTTGTGGGCAGGTGCGCCATCTTACTGAAAATGCAGATGATGTCTACTTATAAGATCCAATTCGTCTAAGAAATTAGTCAGAATTTCTGACATAAATTCCACATATCTTTCACCAGTTAGGGTTCCCTCATAAAAGAACGGGCCAACAATTTTTGAACCAATTATACCGCACCAAACGTTGAAACTGAAACGGACTTGTGGGCCTCTTGGATGTACTAACAAAAGATTTTCTCTTGACCAATAATGGTGGTTTTTTCTATTAAACATTCCAGAATTTGAAAAAATTGATTCATCTGTCCATAAAAGGTAACGAAAGTTATTTACATTTTGGCGACAGAAGCTAAGATACCAATGGCAAAAAACAAGTCTTCTCTCTGGATCCCCTGCCAAAAGCGTTTGAACTGGTCGGTACTTATACGGAATAAATTTGTATTTTTTTAAAATCCTTTGAGTCCTTGAGAATATCTGCTATTGAATTCTCACGATAAGCTTCAAAATATCCAATAACTGCAATTTCCGTGGCCTCGCTTATTATGAATCCTTTTTTTGCCCTTGTTTTAGCAAAAACATTTTCGTTGCCCCTAAATTTTCGATAAAGTCTCAGAAAATATCGTTCATACGGTTGAATGCGAGCGGGATATAATTCTCTTGCTCTCAAGGAGGATTTTCTGCACACTAAATAGCATTCTAACATATCACACTTTTCTTCATGGGAGAACATTTTTCTTTAAATTAATGACACAATAAAGCTTATAAACAAGTATTTACACTAATGTTTGACATTATTTGATTTTATCATTGTTTTCCAAAGCCTTCTAGTTGCGAGTCTGTCCAGTTTAACAATTTGTCGCTTATCTTAATGCTGTCAAATCGCGAACGCCATGTTGTTTTCATAGCCGTCTTAATATTATAATACTGCAAATAATTAAAAATATTTATCGTTATTTTGACTTTATTTTTGACTTTAGCGGAAAAGTCATTATGAACTTTTTTGTTTAAAATTTGATGCTTTAACAGAAAAAAATATAATATACAGGGGTTTCCATTTAAAAAAATGTTATTTTACTGAAAAAAATCAAAATAACGACTCTCAATTGTTTTTTTTTATTTCTCATTTTTACCAGCGTTAAAAATGCTACTATAGTCAACGCCAAACAAAGTGGCGTGCACGTCATCAAGGTGGGTGTGTTGAAAAATTTACATTGTTGCCAAACTTTTTGTAAAATAATAAAATTTATTATTTACATATCTAGGTTTATAAGCAATATTAACCTCAAATGAGAACAAAAATAATAGTATAATAAAATTATAGATCTGTACTTGCATAATCATTAAGTATGACAATTATTGATCAGATGACACTATGAAACTACCATATTTAATTGATAGCTTAAAGGTACTGAATAAAAATCCAAATGGGGTCCTCCAAATTTTATGCATGGTATTTATTTTACAGAATTCATACAGAAAAATGCATTCTAAAATTAGGTAAGCTACTGGTGTAAGCTTTTTCTGTACAATAAAGTTAGTCGGAGTTTCTTTCTTCAGCGCTGTCTGAATCTGAATCTTCATCACTCTCAAAGTTGATTATTAAAGGTTCGATGTCTGGTCGATCAAAAATTCGTTCTCTTTCATACCATTTAAAAATTTCTTGCTCAGTATGTCGAACACTATTTTTCCACATGTCTGGGGTAACCGTTTGTAGAGCCTCGTTCCACATATCCAAACAGTCTTTTTCACTGTTACCATCTCTACCAATATGTCTGTTATAGTAACCTTTTGCTATGCCCCAAATTAACTCAATAGGGTTAAATATACAATGGTAAGGAGGCAGACCAAGAACTTTGTGCCCATGTTGTTCCGCCAATTCATCAATCACGTATATTTTAGGTGGTTTGTTTCTAAAAAAGCAGTTATTTTAAGAATAGGAATAAACAAAAGAAATATAAACTGTCGACCAAAATATATATAATTAAGAAGCATTATGTACCGAGCAACAATACTCAATAGCTCTGTTTTAAACATTGTGTTTAAAAATGGTATGTTTTGATTTGTCAACCAGTCTTGGATATTTTTTTTTGTCCATGCATTGTTGGGCACTTTGTTCAATATCATGCTGTGATAAGGGGCGTTATCCAGTATAATCATAGATGGACTCTCCAATTTTTCTAATAACTGATGTTGAAACCATTTCAAAAAATTGTCCTGGTTCATCTCTCCATGGTAATCGCTCAATTTTGTTTTCGAAGAAAATATCGCTTCACTACCCTCAATAAACCCATTTTCATTTCCAGCATGTAATATAATGTATCTAAAATATATTAGTTTTAAATTTTATAGTGCAAATTGTGTGAGAGTACATACCTTTTACCATCTGTTTTAATAGCTTTCACGCTTTTTTGGTTTCCATTTTGCCAAGAGCGACCTATGGTCCCATTTTGAAATATCCAAGTTTCATCGAGGAAGACAAACTGGTATAAGGCCTCAACCTTGGCTTGATTGTATTGCCTTAGAAATTCCACCCTTTTCAAAGCTATACTTGGTAGTTCCATGAGCCCTCGTCGCGGATTGTCCTTAAGCCACTTAAATCCAAGATCTCTAAGCAACCGCCTTAAAGACGTGGCACTACCATCAAATAATGCCCTATCTCTTAATCGAGACCATAAAGTTTGTATCGTAACTTGTTCTTTTGAAACCATGTGTAATATGACATTATAATTTAGTTAACAAATTAATGCAAATTTCTGATAAGTTATTATAATAAGATCTTACTTTTGTGATACATATTATAGATCACTTCTCGAATGGCACTTGTATCCAATGTCGCTGTGTTGGTTACACGTTTAATATAACTCCGCTTTTTCTTGGGCGATTCTAAATTTGCATCACTTTTCACACCCTCGGAAATACGACTAACTGTCCTTAAACTAATTTTTAAAGCAGCAGCAACACGCTACAAAAAATGAAATAAAATTTCACTATTATTAATATACATTACATATAATTATTAGTAACCTACCTCTTGAACAGCATTTAAAGGCAACAAAGGCCCGTTGTTGTCCCTTTCTTGCTCAAAGTAGTGCATTAACAAGGCCACGAGTTCCTTACACCGACTATTTAACTGTTTGGGCATCTTTATATACCAAAATTGCCTTTATCTACTCGTAAAATGAATAATTTTGTTTTGAAACAAACAGTTGTTGATTTACAGTATGCGGGGCCAAAGGATTTATAAAGATTTGAAATGCCACAAATTGATTCAGTGTCAAAATTAATACAAATGTCAGTTCCCAGTTTAAATAAGTTTCAAGGTGACAATGTGTCAACGCTGCGAAATCGGTTTAGTGCGTTTACATGTCGATAAGTGATTGGAGCGTTTGCAAAACATTTTATTTCGCATAATGCGTCTAAATTTATCAGAAAGCAACTTATGTGATATTTTAATAACAATGTTTATATGACTATTAACCATAATAAGAGAGTAATGACCATTTTACAATTTATATATCACATTAATATGAAACTGCAATAGAGCAATTGTTTGTGATAGAAACCTAGGCATTAGGTCGGGGAATTTTTATCGTGATGACGTGCACGCCACTTTGTTTGGCGTTGACTATAGTTTGCTAATTCAAACAACTTTGTATTTTCACTCATAACAAAGTTACTAATCTTGGACACTTAATTTGGATAACCCTGTATATAGTGGATACCAAATAAAATCCGATGCACGTCATAGGTGATGTCATTCATAAAAATCATGGTTACCAACAGTTGACTACATTCAATGTGACATTTCTACTTGAAGTTTAAATTTCCCCGTCTCGATTCGGTTGGTAGTGCCGTGCAGAGAAATGTGAGGTTGTCACTTCTCATTTGTTGACATCAGTTGCCATTGTCCTTTTGTCCTACTATTAGTTCTTTATTGTTTAGTTTGTGAGTTTTGCGCTACTTGAGCTTTGAATCGTTGCCTTGCCAATTAAAAATTGTTCTTTTCAGAACAACAGTTACTGTGAAGTGGTGTAAAGTATCCAAAATGCCAAAACAACTTAACAGTCGGTGTAAAGAGCTCATATCATTGAATATCTACCAAAATCAGGTGTTTTTATTCAGAAAGGAATTTAATTTTACAACAAGTTTATTTATTTTTAATATAATGGTATTATAGTAAATGGTAGGTATATACAGGGTGACTTTGAAGTTGAGTCATTAGTTTTCAGATAATGATTGTAGAAGGAAGATAAACCAAAATATGTGTGTAAAAATAAAAAAAAAATAAAAAAATTTTTTTACCTTGTTTTATAAAGTATCCTCCCGACAAGTATTTCAGTGCGGACCTGTATTTGATCGTGAGGTCCCCTGTGAGGTCTGAAGTCACCTGATTCACGAGCCCGTTGTACTACTATTAACAAAGGCACGAGGGGTTGGTTGCACTCGATTGGGAAACCGATCCGCATAAACATGTGCCATTTTTTATTTCGTTTGAGCCACGCAACAGACACTATTCACACACGACTGACACTGATTGTATGTATAACTGAACTGAATAAAGTAAACATCGTTCCAAATTCTTTCGCTTTTTTGTTTCCGATGCGATGCACCGATAAGGTGGATTATATCCGTTGTTGCCAAACACGAGCACATGATGATATTGAGACAGGGCGGTACTCAAACTTCCAAAGGGCTATAACTTTGTTACTTTAATTTTACCAGAAAAATGGTAAAGGAAAAAAACATTTCTTTTGATCAGATCTACTCACTGTTAAAATAAATGACTCAACTTCGAAGTCACCCTGTATAAACAATTTATTTTATTAAATTTATTTGCTTAAAAGAAAATGTGCAAATTCTGGCAACAGCGCACAGCTCCAGATCGATGACGTGCATCGGGTTTTATTTGGTATCCACTATATAATGGAAGACTTTCCTTTGATATATCGTCAAATTATGCGGAGTCTACTCTTTTGACTGACAATACTCAAGCTTTTGACAGACTATGCTACCATCATCAGGAGCTCAAAAAGCAATTAAAAATAGTAAATGGTAAAATAGCAACCATGCTCAATTGATAGAGATTTTTTTACTTACTCGGTCAGTGAGAATATGGCTATTTTTTGATGTTAAAAATGTAAAAGTGGATCTACGTCAAAAAACGATGCAACAACATGACTGTAATTTACTACTCCACTGCAAAAGGAGTTGGACAACAATTAATCAGAAAAATGTGTCTTTCAACTTTTAAAAATTTTGAAATAGATGCTTTGAAACTACCTGCCAATAAAGTGAAATACAAAATTTTCCTTGATAAAGTGTATTTGGTACTCAAAAATATCACTCACACTCCTCTCAACAGGGTTTTAAGGTATATAAAATTATATGTTTTCCTTTTGTTTTAAAACAACACAAACATATCCACTCACAGAGTGAAATGTTTGCTGCTCAACGTACTATACAAGCTTTTGGGAATCTCGCCTATCCGACTTCAGTGGCTTGTTTCCATTGAACTCTTGTTGTATTTGCTCTAATGTCTTCCCTTTAGTTTCCGGCAATACGAAGATACACCATACGGCGTTCCCAAAGCTTATCAGGGAGAAAACAAAGAATGCTGTGTACATGCCAAAGCTAGAGCTGAAGAGGTAGAACAGGTAGCTTGTTAATGATATTAACAATCCCATAACGCTGATCAGCACATTCAAACCTTTAGCCTTTATGGAGGCTGAAAATAGCTCTCCAAGCATGACGTTCGGAATATTGGATACTCCAAAAGCAGAGAATACTATATAAGCCATCATGCCTATCAAGGGAACCCAGGTGTAGTTTGAAACATCCCATTGGGGAACGCAATCCTTGATGTAGTAGAAAACAGACAAGTAGAGCATGCATGCTGCACATAGAAACATAGATATTATGAACGACATCTTTCTTCCAAAACGGTCTATGCAGAAACTGGCAATGATGGTTACTCCTACGAATACGCCACTATAGATGAGGGTGGCAGTTTTCGCGTCTCCACCGGACTCTTCGAAAATGTAGCTGAAATGAATAAAAGTGAATCAAGTGCAGTAAAATGTGGTTTCCAATTTTATGTAACTCGTGACTACGTTCGAACCAATGGCTGCACAAGAAGCCCAAATTCAACTGACTTTGTTACTATTTCCTCTACAAGTACCAATCCAATCCCTACTTCAGTATTCAATCTGTAAATGAGTAAAGTGTGGATGTCTGTTACTCATAAACCGCGAAAGACTTATTTTGCTGTTTTGAACTAATGTAACGTTTATTTTATGTCCCACTACAAAATGCACAGCGCTTTCCAGGAAGGTCCCCCTTACTTATTCCTTGAACCGGTTAAGTTGCAAGTTAAAATGCAGAGTGGTGAAATGCACATAAAAGTAACCGTTTAAACTTTCAAGATGGCGGCCTACCTACCTCTGCTAAAATCTGTTACCATAAACATTAGGTACATCGTGGCCTTTCAATAACACACTCCCACAAAATAGAAAAGTGATGTGTGCCTATTGTCCCAAAATTTTTCCCCTGCACTCTTTCATGCTAAACTCGAATCAAAATTAGGGGTCGGTGGATAAATAGAAAACTAATTCAAGCATCAATATTACATATTTTGGCATTATTAGCGGATGTGCATCTCTCCACAGGTCTCTGAGAGATGCACATCGACGAAAAATACCAAAAATGTTTATACTGCTATGTAAATTACTTTCATATTTGTCGACTTTCCTCCAATTTTGACTTCATGTTCGTGTACAGCGTGAAAAAGTACACGGAAAACCATAGTCGAACCCCAAGCACACACCACTCTTTTATTTTGTGGGTCTGTGCAATTAAATAAATTTTTAATATCTTCTGTATTTATTTATTTTTTCGGGACATGCCTACCCCCAATTGAGATATATCACCCCTCTCCCTCCCCACAGGGGCCTGCCATACAGATTGTGAATCACTAGTTCTAATACTCTAAATGATTCATCAGTAGTCATACGAAAAACATTCAAGTAACTATTTTTTATTGCTTCCAAAAAGCAATTTTACTGCTTTAGAACTACCATGTATAGAGTACTAATAATGTACTCACCTTGTATAAGCAGCGACAAAAGCCGATCCACCAAATTGCTGAGCCACTCTCATCAGCACTCCCACAAACAGTGCTTTTCTATTTGCCACTATACAAAACAAATCCTTCCAAGTGCCTGTTTCAGACATTTGTCTCTTAACATCCGCTTGCAATTCAACAAAATCCTCTTCCACATCTTCTTTCTGTAACAATCTTTGAAGACTGTTTCTGGCCGCATCCTCCTTTCTTTTCATTAGGAGGTAGTACGGTGATTCAGGCATGAAGGGGAAGGCTATTTGGAAAAGCACTCCCGGCACCAGGAGGATGTAGGCAGTCTGATGGACGTCAAAGTAGAATCCTGTAGAAGGCCAAGAATGAGATATAATTATAGGGATACATGATTTTTTCAACAAATACGTATTATAGAGAGCGTAGAAAATTATTCTGTAATGACTTTTATTCATATAAATTTCTCGTAATTAATTGGACTTGGGGTGTGAAGAGACACAGTTTTCTTTTATAAAGTTGGCGACGTTTCGGAAGAATTTGTTTCCTTTTTTTGGCTCTACAAAGCAAAATTAAGGCATCGACTTTACATATACTATACATTAACTAACAATTTGAATAGAGACATCGATATATACCTAAGTTACTTATTTTAGTTAAAACAATATATAAACTGAAATATTTAAACCAATGACGATGGAAAAACATGCAAAGACTGTATATACATACATACTATATATAATTACATACATACTATATATACAGGGTGACTTCGAAGTTGAGTCATTTATTTTAACAGTGAGTAGATCTGATCAGAAGAAATGTTTTTTTCCTTTACCATTTTTCTGATAAAATTAAAGTAACAAAGTTATAGCCCTTTGGAAGTTTGAGTACCGCCCTGTCTCAATAATAATATCATGTGCTCGTATTTGGAACGATGTTTTTACAATAAATTATTTTATTCAGTTCAGTTATACATACAGTCAGTGTCAGTCGGTTAGCGTGTGAATAGTGTCTGTTGCGTGGCTCAAACGAAATAAAAAATGGCACATGTTTATGCGGATGGGTTTCCCAATCGAGTGCAACCAACCCGTCGTGCCTTTGTTAATGTAGTACAACGGGCTCGTGAATCAGGTGACTTAAGACCTCACAGGGGACCTCACGATCAAATACAGGTCCGCACTGAAATACTTGTCGGGAGGATACTTTATAAAACAAGGTAAACATTTTTTTTTAATTTTTTTTTTATTTTTACACACATATTCTGGTTTATCTTCCTTCTACAATCATTGTCTGAAAATTAATGACTCAACTTCAAAGTCTATATATATATATACAGGGTTTCCGCAAATTTGGGGTTTTCCTTTTCACAAACAACTACCCTTGAAATAACAAAGGTAATGTGTAGTGAAACGAGGGCGAACAAGTAAAAAAAAATAAAGGAAAAAGTACTCACTATCCAGTTGACGAGAAGGGCTAAGTACGTCTCTGCCCAAAATCATACCGCTCCAACAGAAAATGGAATCAGCTGATGCGCTACCGAGCAGACCCAGAAACCACATTGATTGTCTTACACTTAATGGCACATCAACAAGGAAGGCAAAATGTTGCGTAAAAAGTCTAGGTATTGCATCCCGTCCAATCGATTTGGGAGAATAAATGGTCCAATGAGCATACCATTCACCATGCCAGCCCAAACATTCCCCGAAAATGTTTATTGAAAATGTGCCCGACGGAAGGCGTGCGGATTTTCTACTGACCAAACATGAGTGTTGCGAAAGTTATTCACCCCATTACGCGTGAACGTAGATTCGTCTGTCACCAACATGCACTTCAAAAAGTCCGGATTATTGACATGTTGATGCAACAACCACTCACAAAATCGCACTCTTGCTGGAAAATCGTCAGGTTGAAGGGCTTGTACACGTTGGACGTGAAACGGATACAGCCCCTCTTCACGCAGCGTTTGCCACACTTTAGTTTTTGATACTTGCACTTCTCTAGCCACGTCTCTAGTGCTTGTTGAGGGATTCTCGTCTACGCGATTACCTCTACACGCGTGACCGTAACCGTCGGTTGAAGGTTGCACACTGACCTGACACACTGACCCCGACCCAGTTCTGTCGTCGGGTTGAGCCAGTGACCTTGTACCTGTCGGTGATGTCGCGGCTACAGGACGGTATTCAGATATTTTTGATGTTGCAGAGCCCTTTATCTCGGTTCCCTTAAGACATTGGTGTATATGGTACTAAGAAAAATTGCTTATGTTTTCAAGATCTACACGTCGTGTAAAGGAAAACCCCAACTTTGCGGACACTCTGTATATAGATAAAGGTGCAATGCATGAGGATCTCAGTACCTGTGGGGGATAGGGCTTAGGTCAAATGAGGGAAAAGTTGCATTCTCTTGGTCATATTTACATGCCGTTGAGACACTTTTAAACCTTTTGTGACTGAGATATTTGGGAAAAATCATTTTTTTCCGACTTTATTCTAAGAAATACCAAAAAACGAATGGAACTTCTGGCCAGAGGAAAAGTACACCCTGAATCTAGTAGCATTTTTTATATGCATTAAACGATGTATCACATATTACATTTATTGTCTTGGTTATAAGGAAAATATTTTTTCTGTTTTTTTAAGTTCGCGTTGCAAACAAATGCTTGACTTGATGTAAATATCTGTCATCGAGTATTGTCATTCTTACGTATTGTTAATATTGCTTTATTATCGTCAAAGATGCCAGGCGGTCATTTCAGCAATGAAGAAAAATTCGACATGCTGACGTGCTACATTTTGTGCTACAAGAAGGCTAAAAATAATCTTGATAAATTTTCCGAAAGAAGGCAGCCAAGTAAGTCCATTTTCTTAGACTTGGCTCGAAATTTAAATGGATATGGTTCATTCAAAAAGCCTGTTTCGTCTCGAAAAAAGGAATATTTAGAGGAAACTCAGAATAGTGTTTTACAAGCAGTGCTGAGAACTCTGAGATAGCAACTAGGCAAATTGAGAAAAATGTTGAAGTAGCCAAATCCACAGCCCAATTTATTTTGCGTAAAAATAGATATCATCCCTATATTTATAAACTCAGAATTTTCCAAGGACTTAGACCGGGGGATAGTGAACGGTGTCAGAATTTTTGTGAGTGGTACGCACGAAGATTTTAATGATTTCCCTTCAAAAACAATATGGTCCGGCGAGAAAAAGAGTATGGTCACTAATAATAATGGTTACTTTAATATACTAAAATAGTATCCAGACATCAAGAACGTTTTGGGTTTAATATGTGGTGTGGAATTCTAGGGACCCACATATTAGATTCATTCATTCATTGTTGCAGCATGATCTAGAAGCATGCCTGGATAATTTACTTTTGGCACAGGTTAGTAGCTGCTTTTATCAGCCTACTTTTGAACCTCAGCTGCAGTTACAACATTATACCAGAAATGTTACGTGATGTTTTAAATTCAAATGTGAGAAGATCATATTTATGTTTAGAAAGTAATGGCAACCTGTTTGAACACCTGTTGTGAATAAAATAAAAAGAATGGTAAAAATGTATTTGATATCCTGAACATCACTAAATTAATCATATTTTTATAAAATGTTACCCCATCTTATCATTATGTGACATGTAATATGCATCCATCAGTAATCACATAATGTTTTATGAAGCATTTGTTTGAAACGCCTACTGAAATAAAAAAATGAAAAAAAAGAACACATTTTCCTTTATAACCAAGAAAAAAAATGTAACATGTGATACATCGTTGAATTCGTAGATACAGATGCTATCAGATACAGGGTGTACTTTTTTTCGGACCATACCTATAGAAAGATAAAGCTGTAGTGCCTGAAGGGTACCAATGAAAAAGTTACATTAATTTTTTGACATTACTTAAAATAAAGTCAGAATATAATAAAAACGATTTGGCCAAATTTTATTTTTCTCAAATATATATGCCCCGCTTCCTAACTTAACCTAAGCTGTACCTCTGAGGCGTTGATATCCCCATGCATAGGATCCTTATCTTGGACGCCCTGCCCTGTATAGCGACAACAGGAAGGTACTTAAAAACCCGAATTTCAGCACAAAAGTGATTGTAAGGACCACCTAAAAGAGAGAAATACGCAACTAGTCCAACACATGTTTTCAGAATGTGGCATTTCCCTATAATCGCGCCGATTGAAAAAACGGTGGTCTCAACTATAAGACATCAGTTGATCAGTGAGAATATACATGCCTATGAGGTTTATCAGGAGCAGTCCACCGCTGGCATTGATTGATACCAAGAAGTTTACCCAAAAGTCCCTAACCCTCGGCTTGCAAATCTCTCCAGCGTACATTGACAAAGCAATGTAGTTTGCACTAGCTCCTATTCCCGTAAGACACCTGAAATGATAATTTCTCGGTAATATACTAAACTATTGTTAGACGAAAATACAGGGTGTAAACGTTATGGCAGTCACTATTGAAATGGGTATATATATAACAAGTCAAAAAGTTCATATGACGCATAGTCCAAAAGTCAACAGATTTTCGTCTAAATGGCTTTATAGTTTACAAATTTATGTGCTTTATGTCGACCACAATCACCACAATCTTACTAGTTTTTATAATCTAATCTAAAACGTTTGTAAATTGGGTATTAAACAAATAAATGGCATTAAGTTTTTCTAAGTTAAGCCAAAATGTGTACTCAGTAAGTAAGTAAGTTTCATTAAATTAAATATTTAAAGCACACATGACATCAGCGCCGCCCTTTCGTCACTCTTATCGAACCGGCAATCGGTCGCAAACGGTAACAGTGGTCAGTTATCGGGCATCGGGCGTGTTGTTTTGTTTTTGTTCGCGTACGTCGTCGTGTTTATTTACAATGTTCTGGAATCAAGAGTTCGACGACATGGTGTTAGCTTACGGTGGAGCTCGTCGGAATTCAAATCTTGCAGCTCAAATTTATCGCGACAGATTTCGCCAACGGGTACACCCAGACAGAAGGACATTTGTGCAAGTGTAACAAAGACTTCGATACAGGAAATGTTCAGCCCACTAATATTCGCGCTCGTGAGACAGGTTACTGTAGAGCAGCCGATTTGACCTTCATGTTATATGAAACTTTTTGCTTCTTTTAACCCCCTCTATCACCCATTTAAATAATGACTATCATAACATTTACGCCATGTATAGCTAGAAGCTGGTATGAAGGTCACATCGGTTTTATGTGAATAAGGATTTTTGCGGTAATCCTTGCTCTTTTAAAAAGTGTCATACAGATTCTAATAATAGTTTGACACTTTGCCGGGACGAAATCTATATTATTTTTGCGAATAGATGCAATCACGAATAGTAGTTCTTTCACTACCAACCTGAGAAATCGCTATTATTTATCGCATGCCCCAATGGAGAAGTTACATTTCCCCCTAGGTAGGTAATGATAACGAGAAAATCCTAAAGCATGTGAACATTCATGTAGAGCATGTTTGGCTTGTTGAGTACAGAATTTTCGCTGCAAATATTCTCTTTACCCATATTACTAATAATTATTGTTGTTTATTTAGTTAGCACATAATTTTAACAGCGCGATAAACTGGTATTAGTATTTGAAAATAAGACTCCTTTGCACAGTTCTGTCACCCAGACATTTCGTGGGCTTTATTCGGACAGTTTTTACAGATGGTTAGAACATTCTCAAATATGCTACATTTCGGAGTATAATCAAGTTACAGATTACAGAAGTGAGGGGTCGGTTTGCCAACCTTAACGTCACTGTGACTCAAGTGGATCTATTGTGACCCCCCAATATAATTTCTAAAGCACCGTGTTGAGCTTTCCGCTGTTGGAACTGAGGTTCCTACTATCTGAAACCGTATCCTTGCCAGGTATTCTAGTCCACGACTATTAGACTTTCTCGGCTGAAAAAATCCCACCTGGCTGAATTTTTCACCAGAGCTTCTTTTCAGCATTATAAATCATCCCTTAAAAGTCCCCACGAATCCAAGTGGAGCTTTTTTGTTATAGGGGGTCAAAGGTCACAAAAACACTTTTTTCCGTATATCTTCGGAAATATCAATTCTACGATAAAATGAGTTATTACCTTTTTTGTTCAGTATGAAATTATCCACAAAAAAAGTTTAATGCATTTTTTCCATAGAGATCGTTTTTTCAAAGAAATTTTACTTTCAATGTTGAACATTGAGGAAATTGTAAAATGACGTACTTTTTTCCACGTTACCATGTAAAGTACCAGACGCGTTTTTTTTCATGTGGTCTCCCCAATATACCTAATCCATGAAGATAGAATGAAAAAATGATGTTATTGTTACTTTTTTCCTTAGTCATCAATGTGACAGGATGCGGCATCATCCAAGTCTTCGCCAACCTCAAGTGTTGAGCACAAGAAATTCATGGGGTCTATATTCTCATCGAATTCCACATTACGACTCTTCATTGTTCGAGATCATATTCAGACATGTCTGTCCATGACAGTAGCCGCAAATGGCGGAACAGTGAAGGTCAAGTTTCCTACATCCGTAATTAGCTCCACAACCTTTCGTACAATTACAAAAGATTGTGTTTAATAAGACATCAGGAGCAGGTGGCAATAGAGTTTGTATTGGCTGTAAACATTCGTCAGTCATAGTCTATCCCCAATCCAATGGATTCAAATTCTTTCCAAGCCATCTGGACTTGATAATACAAACGACATAAATGTGCTTGACCTGCACTCGATGTTGTTGAACATTTGATTTGTAGGAGGACAATAGTCGCTATTCGTGGGTGTCGATTGTATATCTTCAATAATTGGTGCAGCGGCCTCTAAAATTCTATAACGTTCCTCTTTCTCATCAGATTTACGATTGTCAAGACGAACATCGGAGAAACAAATAATCGTCAAACTTGTAATGCCGATTTTTTTACCGTACTTTTCAACAAGTTTTATTTTTACAGTAACATCATCAGGTACAAAATCAGTACATACCCTTTTAAGTTCCGATAAAGTGAACTGACAGTCATCATTATTTTCAATGTAATTATATATTTTCTCTATTGTCAAAGAGATGTTGATATCTAGAGGTCTTCCATGCTTTTGGGCAGTTAAAGGTCGCCCCAGAGGGACGTAGCAATCACCGAGGAAGGCTAGCGGTCGAGGTGCTGGGTTCAGCATCTTGCTTCCTTTTAGCAGCAGTAGTGCTATTTGCACGAGTATATTCTTTGCGACACACCACCTGCACTCTGATCGATTCAACACTCCGCAAAAATTTAATTTTTCCATCATTTCGCTCGATACTGGCGTCACGTAAGGTGACGCAAACAGTCTGACAGTGATTTGTCGCAAATGATGCAATTTTCGACCATTTTTCAATTTATATGTGAATAATTTCACGTAAGAACTGTCTGAAATTATCCGACGCGTCTGTATACAACTAAGAATAGCAGAATACTGGTCTGAAGACTGGCCAAATGACGTCAATGCCCCACAGTCAGGTATACAGTGACGTACATTCTAACACAGAAAAAAAGGGCCAGCTATCCTCTAGGTCACAAGAGGGGACACTTATAGAGCTCCTACCACAAACATCCAAAAATGAAAACGATGTCAAAGTACGGTTTGACGTGAAACTTTTGATTTTTGTCAATTACAACACGTACACAATTTTCTGTAAATTTGCGATCTCTACGAAAAAAATGCATTTGACCTTTTTTGTGGAGAATTTTATACTGAACAAAAAAGGTAATAACTCATTTTATCGTAGAGTTAGTATTTTCGAAAATATATGGAAAATAGTGTTTTTTGTGACTTTTGACCCCCCCATAAAGAAAGCTCCACTTGGATTCATGGGGACTTTTGAGGAGTGATTTACAATATTGAAAAGAAGCTCTGGTAAAAAATTCAGCCAGGTGGGATTTTCTCAGCAGACTAGCCTTCTTTTTATCCATTAGTCCTGGACTATTCACAGTCACACAGGAGATGCACAGGGGGTTTCCTCATGCTCTAATCGTCTAATCAAATTAAATGTAATGTACAGTACTAACTGCTTAACAGAAAGGACCTCACCTGGCTACATGGAAAACATAAACATTCTCAGCAAACGTTTCCAGTATACACGCTAGAATAAAAGGCACACCTCCAATAAGAAGCGTAGTTTTCCGTCCTATCCTGTCACAAAGTACAGAGAAAATAGGGCAGGACAGTATCTGGAATATCGGCGGCAGCGTGGTGAAATACGAGGCATGGTCCTCGCTGATGTCATAATTCTCTGTGTCCTTTGTGAGCTGCACGAAAAATGGTGACGTCCAGGAGAAATGGATGCCATTTTCTAGCGTTGTCAAGCAGCCTGGAAAAATTTTGTAAAGATTTTCAATCCCTCCTCGCCACTTATTTTTTAAACGGGTGATGAAACTGATACATGTGTGCCATAATTTAGCGTAATAGTGACAATTAAAAATTTCGAGATGGCGGCAGTGCTTCATCTTGCAACATTTTTTTAAATAGAAGATGGGTTCGGCTCATTGGAAGATGTGCTTTATAAACCTGAATAGAAATTTACTTCTTTCAAAGTTGCAGATTATCGGGATTATCGGGCTGTTAAAGTTGATCATTTTTACTTTTCGCGCCTGCTGGCGAGGAACTATTGTTGTCAGAAAGAATGAGATACTGTTGACATGTACATCACAAAAAACCATGCCACTCATTTTCGTCGGACTGTCAGTCGGTCTGTTTGTCCGTTAATGCTTGGCTCATCATTAACTTGGAATTACTATGCCTACTAAGGGTATTGATCACACGTTTGGGGTGCTGCCGCCCAGACTACATTGTCCATGCTGATGCTGTCCAGAGGAGGGCGGTCCGACTGATCGATGACTCTCTAACAGACAGTCTCGGGACCCTTTCGCATCGGCGGGCCGACGACGATCTAGCTCTTTTCTACTGCTACACCAACGAGCTTTGCTCCTTAGAGCTCTTTTCCCAGTTCTACTAAAATTAGGCAGTTCAAAAATCGTATTAACAAAATTTCTTTGGGATCATCATAGCAGCCGCGGTGTTCCTGCATTTGGGCTTCTGCCTGCGTGGCTGCTTCGATATAAAAAAAGGTTAGTAGTTTTTTTAAATCGGTCCAGTGGCGATAGAGTTATAAACAGAAAAATAAAACTGGCTCAAACTGTCTTTTCTGGCATTTCAGAGCTTCCTGGTCATTGTCAGAATAAATTTTGTACAGGTTGAAAATTGAAGGATTAGTATGTCTTTGGTATCAGTGAAGGACAAAGGGCAAAAATCCAGTGAATAATCGTAGGATGCACGATCCTTTGACGCTCCGACGCGATAACAACGTTCATGCTGTTACCAAGCCAGCGGTGCGTTGGTAGATCGAGATTGAAGAGAAGAACCCTTTCTGGGTGAGGGATAGGAAATGATAAGCTGGAATGTTTATAATCGGTCAATATTTGGGTATGAGTTGTTACATACATATTTCCGTAGATAAGAAAATAGTTCTCAGTGGCGCAGTACAAGGAAACTTCGTCAAGCAGATTGAGTCAGTATTCCTGATGCATTCATATATAATAATTTGCAAACTCCTTTCACCTATGTATACATTCGGAATACCCGAAGGGTACACTATAATATACTTACAGTAATACATATATGTCATGATTGAAATATCTAAGCGATTATAAACTTATAAGGCTGCAGTTAAGTAATTTTTCAAGCTCAACTCCGTAAGAAATTTTTTCGCTAAGCCCAAAGGTAGCAGAAACGTGGGAACATGCGAATACCTAGTTATTACGCACCTGTCAAATAGCATTAGCTTCTGTGGCTCCATGTGACTACTATGACAAAAGAGTAACTAGTAAGAATTGAAAATCGCTTGAACATCAATCTTCAGCGTATCAGAGCTTACTGCTCAACTTCAGGCAGTTCCAGGAGGAATTGAAAATTATGGCTTTGAAAAGATAGGGGTGAGTGGTTGTAAATTGTTACATTTAAAGAATTAGTGAAAATCTTCTATTATTAAGAAGCTGCTAATCCCTGTAATACTGCTCACTTGTTAGACATAATGATCACACAAAAAGATAATAGACTTATCTTGTACAGTTTGGTAAATAGAGATTTACAGTATATTGGACTTGAGTAAGCATACCTAGTCAAAGCTCGATTATATCTGTATTTTGAAATTAGCAAATTTTTAATAACGGCGTGGAAAGTATAGAGACAATCTACTTGAAGCATTTTTTTCATTGAATAGCTTATAGCAATATAACTGATCAACAGAACGTTACAGTATGTTATATTAAAATTCTTCTTTTATATGGATCGATCTAATTGTACAATAAAATATGGAATATTCGGTCAAAAAGAAATCAGTTTTTGCAAATTTTCGGTAGGATGCCCATAATTTATTACACGTCTAAATAGACCCATATATATGAGAAGATTGATAACTGACATACTAGCTTTTTGATGATTGGTTGTTTAGTTACAATTGCTTCAGTATACAAAAACGCTCAGATTTGACAGCCTGCCTGTCCACCATTTTGAAAGGTTAGAAAATTTACATTCTGCGGTCGATGAGTACTTCTAAGTAGCTCCAAAATGAGGTGCCACATGACCTCCATTCCACTTGAAGAATGCGCCACGTAGATGTTTTTAATTGCCACTTTTACGCTAAAATTAAGTATTAATTCATACATTCGTCAGTTTCATCAGCCCAAAATTCAGGTTGCTAACTTGCCCCTTTTAAAAAATAAATGAATGGGAGTCGCTTTTGGAAAGCACTGTATATTGTTATAAGACTGAGTAGGTTTGGATTTAATTTTTAACAGGAGCATTGTGCAAGCGACTTAATAAGTATTAGGTATTTTCCGAAGTAGATACACAATCAATGTTGAAAGATTTACCTTAAATGAGGGGCAAGTTAATAGAGTCAACGGGAACTGAACTCGCACCATGCGTTTACTCAACATTAAATTGTTAAAACTTAGTACATTGTTATTATAATTTCGGTTACATACGAACCCCTTTCCACTTCAGTTGGCCCACTTCAAAATTTGCACCAAAATATGCCTTCATAAACTAAACATGACGCAACTATATACTTCTAAAACAATTTATTTTCTCAAAAACATTTTAGATACACTCTAGTCGTAAAAAAAACATATTTGAAATCACTTAGACCTATAACTAATAGAACATCTGAACAAATAAACAATGTGCGAATAAATGCGCGTAGTTAACAAAGCAACAATTGAAAGATTACCATTGGGTAACATCACCTTAATTTTTTATTACGGCTGAAATTCTTTGGGGCATAGTGTTAACCAAGTTTTGGCAAGAATTTTGTGTAAAACAATCCCATTTCTTTTTAAGCTTTTGTCTCAGTTCGGTGATTGTACGAGCAGGATGTTGTCGTAGAACCTTTTTCATCTCGTGCCACAAAGTTTCAATAGGTGACAGATCTGTACTGCTAGAAACCCATTTCAAAAGTGGTACATTAGTACACCAGCATCTCGATATGCAATAATCGTACCCATGTGAAAGTTGCTAACATCGTGATATTATGGACGTCTTCCAACTCGAGGCATTTTGTTATGCTTAACACTAGTAAATGAAACGGTAATAATAAAGGCTGAGAGATAACATTTTGACAAAGGTAAGCAAAATCAAAGATTAAACGTTGACATTGTTGCCACAGCATGCTTAGAATTTAGTCATTATGTTGCCAAATAAAAAGTTGAAATAATCATTTTTTCTGGATGTAAAACTTCTAATGTCACTGAGTATATTTTGATCTTTTTATATTTTAACAAAGTTACTATATATTTATTCTTTTATCGAGAATAGCGCGATATTTTATATTTGCAAGAATGCCTTTAGAAATGAGTTAAAAATTAAGATCTTGCCTGACGGAAACAATTTTGTATCTGGAAATTAGTAGAATGACTACCGAAATACAGGGTGAGTTTTTAGTGTGGGCTCGGTGGATAACTCGCATGGTATTTAAAAAACTAAACACAAAAGTTGTAGTCAACAGTAAGCTCCTTATTTGTAAAATATGCTCATTTCTACAGGGTCATTCATAGTTACGTAATGAGTCCAACATACATTTTTGAATGGAAACTACATTGAATCTTAGATCCAGATAGCCCGTTATTAAATAATGCAATTCGATATAACATACTATAGGGTTCTATTTTCAAATTGTTTAGTTATTGGACACTCTAAGTGAATTATTATCCGTCAGAAAAATTTTATAATCAGATAATTTCTCTCCATCTTTAAAAATTTTCAAATGGAACGCCCTGTATATTTTGATTCACGTTCTCACAGGCTTTTTTATATCATATAAGGCTTATGGGAGTTCGTACAATTGGTTTTTGAGTAACCGAAAACAAAGTGACACCTCCTGAACCTTTCGACTTTATTGTGTGAGATTAATAGATTTAATTTATAATAAAATTACACCAATTTTAATCATCTGCTGTTACCAGCTGAATGCTATTGTTATTTTGAAGGTATTGTAATATTGTATTAGTAACAGCTTCCAGAAACCCAAAAAAAAGCTTGTGAAAGGGGAACGAAAAAGTGTGTAAATATATAAATTTGTTCACTAATGTTGGAGAAAATTTAGCATCCAGTATTAAAAAAATGGTTTCGAACGAAAAGTTCACAAAAACCCAACTTCCCAATTCATTCTTTTTAGAAAGCGTTAGTCCGATTGAAGTACAAGAAGCTGTCCTATCACTTAAAACCAAAAAAAGTCCTGGTGTAGATGGTATCAAAGCTGACCATTTAAAAATAATAGCCGAACCACTTTCTTACGTCATTAATTGGTGTTTCCAATCTGGAATTTGTCCTGATGCATTTAAAACAACTGTTATTACTCCTGTTTATAAAAGCGGTGACAGAATGGAAACATCAAATTATAGACCCATATCAGTACTATCGAATATAGCTAAAATTTTCGAAAAATTACTACAAAAAAGGATATTACAATTTTTGGACAAAAACAAAATTATATGTTCTGACCAATATGGATTTAGAAAAGGAAAATCTACTACAGATGCAATTTTGGCTGCAAAGGATGAAATTAACTCTAATGTCAACAAAAAGATACCTACTATTGGTATCTTTGTTGATCTAAAAAATGCCTTTGATACGGTTAACCATGTCGAGCTTCTGAAAGTTATGGAAAGATTGGGATTTAGGGGAGCGTCACAAATCCTTTTAAAAAATTACCTTTCAAGTCGGGCACAGACTGTCAAAATCACTAACACTTACAGTAAAAAAATGTACATCAAGTGTGGTGTACCTCAAGGAACAATACTAGGCCCACTATTATTTAGTCTCTACTTAAATGACTTATTCAAAATTAACAGTTCTGGAAAGATTATATGTTTTGCAGATGACACCCTCGTATTATATAAAGCTGATGACCGGAGCACACTGAAACAAATAGCTGAACAGGATTTTATAAGGATCATTGACGGGTTTGATACTAAAATTTTAACAGTTAACTTCAAAAAAAGAAAATTTATTGCATTTACATCCTATTCAAAATTTTTACCTACCTTCGAACAAAAGACCAAAATCGATAGAGTTAATACTTTGAAATATCTTGGAATATTTATAGACTCACATCTAAGGTGGGATAACCATATTAAATATGTTATCAAGAAATTAGAAATGTTGCCTATAAACTCAAAATGCTAACATTCTTACAGAAAGTTATCTGCGAATCCTATACCATGCCTTAGTTGAAACCCATATAATATACGGCATCACAGCCTGGGGTGCCGCCTGCAAGACATATATTTCTGACCTGAATATAGCACAAAAAACTGTTTTGAAAGCCATTTTCCATAAGCCAAGATTATATCCAACGAACAACTTATATCAAGAAACAGGGATAGTTGATACAAGACAACTTTATTTCTTACATGCCACCACCTTATACCATAAGTATTGTAATAAAAAGCAAAAATCCTATAAACATGAGCATAACACACGATTTCGAATAGACTCATCTAATATCCAAAGACCACACAAAACATTATTCAAAAAATCATTTAAATTCTTAGCAGCTAAATTATATAATGTAGTACCAAACGAAATAAAGATACTTAATTTTGGAAAAAAATTTAGAAGAAAATTGAAAGACTGGGTTAGTAATGTGCAGCGAATGACTATACATAATTATATAGAAAACTAAAACTACAAAATTCCAATTACATTAATACCTTTTAGATTTAACAATAATTGTTATACACATATATGATTGATTGTTAGTTATTAAGATATAAACCACACACAGGCGATGCCTTCTGTGGTTTTTTCATATTTATTTGCCCATTTTTTGTATTTTGGCGAACAAATATTATTATTATTATTATTATACATGAAATTTCTGAGAACACGTTCATATTGCGTTTTTCAGCACCCTGTATAATCCACCGGAAAAAGTGAAACACTAAGTCTATAGGATTAATTTTTTTAGGCGACATGCGTAATAACGGGCTTATCGACCGGTCTCACACTAAAAACTCACCCTGCTATCATACGGTGCCTACCTATGAATACAGCAAGAATTTGCAGCCAGTCTCTGCCCTCATCTTTCCTCTTTTCATCTTCACCAGGACACTTTTTCGCCATTCTCAGAACTGTTCGTCCATTAGCCTGCCAATCCCAAAATGAAATGCATTCTGCAACGAAAACAGTTGAATACAATTATATACTCTGGATTAGTTCGTGGATCAAAATGTACATATTTGAGACGAGTAAATCTCGACCATTGTTCAACTTTTTCCAGCTGTCATCTAACTGCTTACAGAAAAATATAGAGCAAATTATTGCAGGATTCACATAAAGCCTGTGCCTGGCAGAAATTGAACTAGCTTGAGTATTATAGTCACACGTCAGCAGAGTTTATTACATAATTCAGAGTACCGACTATCTAATCGTAAAATGGTAGTGAAGAGTACTAGGCTTGAGTGCATTTCCACTATACCGACCTAGGAATGCAAAATTGCAAAAACGTATTTTCGTTTACAAAGATAAGCACAGGCATCTGATTTGAAGTAATTGTAACAAGTGCAATCTTTATTTATTATCATTCTTATCTTCAAAGTTAAAAATTTTATTCAAGATTTCGAAAATTGTATAAATCGAACATAATGCAGGCCAATTAGATCAACACATTACTAAAGTGCGTTATTTATCGCGAAATGCAAATTATGTCGATACCTCTTCCTAACAGACGATCTGTGCCGCCGAGTGCACTGGAACTTGCTCAGCTACGTGCTGCCGGAATACATCCGCTCACCTCTGGCCAGCTGCTATTAAACCGCTCAGCTACAGCTTGTCCGAATGCATCAGCTCGGCCGTATCTCTTCGGGAGAATTAACCCACGACAAAGGTTTGCAAGAGGCGATTATCGATTTCGAGGCAATTAGATGTTACCTTGCAATCACCTTTGCCTTGCGTTAAGTTTTCGTCGTTCCTTCAAGACTCCCCTCTGAAACAAACTGTAAACGGAATGTTTTTTTGTAGTAGGTTGAAATAGTCAGTCAAAGAAGCCCATTTAATTAGTCCATAGGCAATATTTCTCGGCCCTGCCGGTAGACCATCTGGCAACGTCGCCTCTCTTCGATACTTGACCTGATCAGACGTGGCACCGCGGCTACAGAATAGGAAACACTATTCAACTATTCTGTGTGGAATAATTATGTCTGATAGGTTCGTAAAACTACCAAGGTTGGGAGCATATAAATGTTAGCATCAAAGAATTGAGATATACCCTCCCCACCCCTAAATTTTGTAGCTCTAAAAATTTTTTCAAAATGGTTAGGATGCTGTGAAACATCAAAAAACGAGGTATGCACAATTTTTATTTTTTCGTCACGAGACCGATTTTCTACAAGTTATAGGATTAGCGGAGAGACCAACAGACTGGCCGACAGATAGACCGACAGACAAACCAACGTACAGATAGACGAAAATCTGTGACAAGGTTTTCAGTAATGTACATGCCATATGTCACATACAAAAAACATAACTCATTTTCGAAAATGTTCGTGATTACAATACTTACACGCCAGTAGGTAGTAAAATGAGTGTGCCCGTGTGTTCCTGCAGAAAATGAGTGAAATGAATATGCAAAGTAATGAAGAGGCTTCAGATCGTCCTTGATGAGGATATTTAACCACTCTTCTGTCATTCCCAAGTGTCAAGACAGTCCAGATAAATCAGTATAACATGAGTTTTATAGAATTTTAGATTCTCTGGGACATCTGAAAATTTCCCTACTCTTTCTTAATTGCTTTGCCAATAATGCAAGAGTTTTCAAAATTACCTGAAGGAAATGACATTGATTTTTGTGACGGCCTGATTCAACAAATGTATAAAAGGATTGCATTACCCCAACCTCAAGAACATTCACGATTACAGTATCCTCATACAGACATGTTTTTAAATACTGGATATTGACGATCATAATGCCGCATCATAAAAAATACATCCGAGGAAAAGCCAGTTTTGGTTGATATATGAGGATCAAAAAAATCCCTTCGTTACATATCAATATCTATTTCTAGACATTGAATCACTAGGTAGAACACGACTTGCCTCTAATTGATATCCGTTTCTTTTGCATTCTACACATTCAGGACCCTTTCACACCGACGAGCGGTCAGCGATCTTGCTCTCTTCTACAGCTATGTCAACAGGTTATGCTCCTCAGAGCTCTTCTGCATGATTCCACCCCCTGAGCCTTCCAGGCTTCGGCCTCCCATCCCAGCTCTGTCAAACCTCGCATATCGCGAACTGGCCGGTACGACCGCTCCTTCATTCCTAGGTTGTTGAGATTGTGGAACAGTCTGCCCGAGGAGGTTTTTCCCAGTTCAGATAACCTTAGGTAGTTCAAAAATCGGATTAACATCGCGTCTTTAAGTTCCTTATAGCAGCCGCGGTACCCCGGTATTTAGGCCTCTGCCTACGCGACTGTTTCAGTATAAAAAGTATTTCTATTTTTAGTGCTGGCGGTGCCTTCTCCTCAATCAGCTCACGGTGGTCCTCAAGGCGCTATCCCTCAAAGCACACCACCTCCTCTACCTACGGGAGGAGTAGGAGGAGTAAGGCGGACACTGAGTGGTTGGAGGGAATGGAGGAGGGCAGATCCTACGCTCATCAACAGCCTTTGGAGAAGCAAAATGGGAAACGGTATCAGAAAACAACTAGGTAAGTACATCAATTGACAATTCGTTAAAGATGGAAGTTCTATGATTTATCAATAACAACTATACTAAGTGACATATAAATCCGAACACCCAGTTCAAATGGTTTTATTTTAATAAAAGTTGGTGAATGTATTTATCTTACTGTAAATAACAAGTGAAAAAATTGTCAGCCTTATCAGTTGGACATTCCGGTTTTTATACTTTTTTTTAATTCACTAACGCTCTAAAAATGAATATTTCAGCCGCAGTAAAGAATCAACGTTGGCGGATTTTGGTTCTTGACATCCTTTATGATCGTTTACGATGCCTAGAGTACGGAGAACCTGTACGATTTCGTCAACTTAGTGAGTTTGATAGGGGCCGTATAGTGGGACTTGGGGAAGCTGGACTTTCTATTCGGGCAATTGCAGTTAGAGTGCAAAGAAGTGTAGACACTGTGGTTAGGTGTTGTCAGGCATGGCTTCGAGAAGGCCGTACGCAAAGAGCAAGGGGCACTGAACGCCGCCGTAGAACAACAGACCGTGAAGATCGCCGACTAAGATTATTGGCCTTAAGGAACAGTTTCTCCACTACTAGGTTCATTGCAAATGAATGTTTTTCAGAACACAGAAGACCTATTGGCATGCGAAGTGTTTACCAACCAATGAGAAGTTTTGGCTTGTTTTCATACCGGCCACACTGGGTCCTCCCTTTAACTCGAGAACACCGGTCACTCTGGGATCAGGAATGGAACAGTATTGTCTTTAGTGACGAGTCTCGATTTTGTTTAGGCATGCACGATGGTCGTGCCAGGGTTAGAAGGCGACGTGGTGAAAGGAGGAATCCACAGTTTTTTGTTGAAAGACATGTTCATCACACTGTTGGAGTTATGGTTTGGGGTGCTATAGCTTATGGTTCCAGGTCACCTTTAATCTTCATCAGAGGTAACATGAACGCGCAGCGTTATATCCACGAAGTTCTAGAACCCCATCTTTTACCCTATCTTTACACCCTGGCAGATCCAACTTTCCAACAAGATAATGCCCGACCACATGTTGCAAGAGTCACAATAGACTTCTTTCAACATAATGATGTCACATTGTTACCATGGCCACCAAGATCTCCCGACTTATCCCCAATTGAGCACGTGTGGGATATGATGGGTAGGAGATTGCTCAATTTGCAACGTCCTCCTCAGACTCTAGAAGCACTTCGAGAGGAGTTGGTGGTTGCCTGGAATGAGATACCACAGGAGGACATTGACCACCTGATCAGAAGCACGCCTAGGCGCGTTGGAGGATGCGTAGCACATCAGGGTGCATCCACACATTATTAAAGGTCGAAGGGCTTTAAAGCAGTGCAATCATTTTGAAATTTTTATCATTTACTTATTATGCTTCATTAAGTACTTATACAAAATTTTATTAAAATAAAGCCATTTAAACTGGGTGTTCGGATTTATACGTCACTTAGTATACAATCTAAACAAAAGCCGCCACGGTGTATTGAACACCTCTGAAACAGAGTTCATTTGAAAAAATCCAACATAACTTATCATGAGTGGTAGCTTTCTCCTAAATGCAAGAAAAGTGTGGAAGTTACTGACCAAGATCCGTGACATGGGGGCTCATCAGCAGGGTGGACCCAGAACATTTTACATTCTTGTGGGATATCACTACGCACCAGGTGGAGATCTGAGCAATTTCATTGTATGTTCTGTATTCCGAATAAACAAGATCTGCTAAGCATAGGATTCATTCTGACATACATATGTTAAATGGTGCAGATGCTAAGATTCGAAAAAACACTTGGTAATGAAACGGAGGATTTTTTTGGAGATTTTTTTGGACTGGATTTAATATGCTCTACTGTCTATGTTCAGAAGAAATCACTTGCAATTATTGTTCCAACTGTTAACTGAAGCCAATCCATATTTATAGACATTGTGACACCTTGAGTTTCTGAAAGTATCCATTATAGCTTTTTAATCTGTTTAGAGCCAATGTGAATCAAACTCTGAAGTGTGTATACTAAAAGAATGTTTCACTACAGTTAAAATAAAGTCAGAGAATCTTAACCTCAATAAAGGATTTAGTGAGTATAGAGCTCTCAAGCATTTGAAATTAGCAACAAGAACAGCACTACATAGTAGTTAGTGAAAGGTCACCAGTGCAGAATGGCTGGCAAAAAATGCAGCTGAAACAAGAATTTTTTGTTGAGAGGGTGTGAGCGATGACATTTTCGGTGACCTGTCTGCTGCTTTATAATCTGTGAGCGTGTAGAGATTAATAAATTGCTCCGAAACTCTCCTCAATTTTGTACGAATATACCCAAATTATACCACAGTTTTTAATTATACCTCCTGGAAGGCGCCCCAGCCTAATTAAAACTCTGTTAAAAATATTTGAATAAGGGGATGCAAGACCACGAAAAATCCTCGCAATCTTCTGCCTTAATAAACTAAGAAACTAATTTAATAACCCCCACTGTCTTTTCCGCGGTTACTGCCTCTCATTTTGCTACTCATTCCTCAATTTTCATTTGCGCGATATTGTTTCAAACAACAGAGGTAAATCTTGTGACAGCCCTAATAGAACTAAAACCGTGGGTCGTCCTCCATCATGTACAAGAAATGCGTCTCTGTGATGTTTTACTTAACTGAAAAATGTGAAAGTGTCTTATTGCAGGCACTCACCATTATGCAGTTTACCGAAAAATGTCTT